CTTTCGTCTGTTACACATCTCTTCGATTTCAGACCAGTATCTGTTTCACGTCCACCAAGTTGCCTTAGTGCGCTGTAAACACTCCTTCTACACACGAACGCGGACACAAACTTCGTATTGCTTAATTATTTACACAGATAAATAAACAAGTACACTCCACAGAACACCCTAGAAGATCCACCCTCACAAACTTCGGTCACTGCAAATAAGAAAACCATCGCCATAATTAAATAATTTTATTTTCACTCTGCTATACAATCAAAATAATACATCAAAATAAAGCATTTTATAAGGAAATACATATTTCACTGTACATTTAAAAAATACGAACATAGGTCATGTGAGGGGAAATTGTTCTGATATATCACACATTGAGATTGGACGCTAATACTGAAACACACATCGGGAAAGGTTAAAGTGACTTACGTAAATACAGTAAAGAACTATAAAAATAAATGACAAACTAAACATACAAGACCACACGAGTTCTGAACACGGACATGCACGTTCATGAAACAAGACACGTAAACATTTAGTAACAATCAATAACAGAAACACGAGTTGACTCCTTAATTTTAAGACGCGCGGCTGACTTTGGGACAAACTGCTTCCTGTTTGAATTGCTCAATATAAAATTGGAGCATGGAAGTCACATTTCAAGGACAATGTGGATAATTACAGACCTGTTAACATTTTTTTCCCCACTGCTGCAACAACACATACAATTTCCTACAATGAATTTACAGATCCTCATTGTATGTAATAAAAAATTAACACGAAACATTATAATTGTATTCTAACAAAACATGTTACATTTTTAATGCCAGTTAAAGATTTTATGCTGACTGCTGCCATCGTTTGAAGAAAGAAAAATTCGAAGAGGAATGTTCCGGTGATTCGAATACATCGTCATTCCCGTCTGAAGTCGTAATATACGGGATTCGAACCGGCGGTATGCCTGCGTCAGGAAGCAGAGGGGTTCGCTCTGTCGCCGCAGTGGCAGCACACACGAACCTCCTTCGTCTGAACGGAATCCTGAGCCTCATGTTCGGGGGAGGAGGAAAAGGTGGTTTTCCTCGCTGTTTGTACCACTGGATTGCAACACCAATTATTGCATGTGCAATCCAAATTGCACACAGTACTGCATCTGCAATCACAACACCCTACACTTATCCTAACGACACAAAGTATCAACACACGGAGAGAAAAAGTTTTTAAAAGCTGACGCAATGACGCAATCATCGTGAAAAAGCACGACTCAGTAAGATAAAGAATAACAATCAAGTCCAACGGCTGTTAAAAACGTGAAAGCGATTTATTAAAAATGGCGAAAATGCAACGAGATCAATTACCTGAGATAGAATAAATGTTTCGCAAATTGTTTTTTTAATTTGTGAATCACTCGAGTATTGCGTTCACATCAAAATCACACAACAAACTTGTTTTACGTACGTGGCTTGTTGCACGATTCCGAAGTCACAACACGAAACAAGACACCAAATAAAGGTTCAGGGTTCACATATCATAAATCCGTACTACACGTACAACCTACCTTTCACTTGAAACGGAGGATCAACAATTGCCATCCTGAAATCTCCCACAGTAGCCCTCCTGACAACATTCACGATAATATATTTCAAGTTTGATCCAATGTAATGATCGATAGGGATTATAACAGCATAAGCTCCGAGCACAGCGCACGAAATCATGTTTGCCTTCTGTATCAGCGAAAGAAAGACCACGGGAACAAGCAACACAATACAAGCAAACACCATCCAGAAGTTGAAATCGGTTCTTAATACGTCCACGTCCCCTGAAAATAAAAGTTAAACAACTGTGCAAAATGAACATAATTCAATACAAAACTGACTTTAACAAATTTACGAGACAAAAGTACTGCTTTATTGAGAAAGATCTTTCACATCAAAATACATTACGTGTTTTGACAAACACCTTCAGAGCCAAACGTAGCATACCTAACCAACCATAAGCAGCGACTGCAGCAACCACAAATCCGAGCGTCAAAGTGGCGAGGAGAACCGAGCACACCGGAATTCCATAGCACCACCAGAAACCGAGCCACAGCGCACCAAAACACAGTCCCAGTAAGACTGACAAGACCATAATTACTGAAATAATCATTACATCAACATCCATTATTCTATCAGACTCTTGAAGGAAATAAAATTTTATCTCAAATCAGTGAACACCCTGTACATTAATGGTATTATCTTAAAATTCAAGTGAATTTATAAGAACCCTTCACAGCTCAATTTAAATTCAGAATGAACTTTAACATTCGGAAAAAAAAAGTCACATTTGTTACATACGAAGGTCTTGAGGTCAAATACCAGATTATTATTTACAGAGACCTGGGTTTGATCCCGGCCAGATCTCAGTGCAGATTGTATTGCTCACAAACTAAAGCCTTCAACCCAGCCGAAGAAAAAACTTTTGAAAATTTTAAGTACACGAGTCAGGGACAGAGATCTAGAGCTTGCATTGAAACGGGCCCTAGAGTAACCTAGCAGCCACAGAAGGTCAAGGAAAGGGGCATCAGATATGACAGTGTAGCCGGCTAAAGTGGTACCTCCGAAAAATAAAAATACGAGTGATTAACTTCAAAGTAAATTTAATGTGCGAAGAATGACACCAGATACTTACAACTTTGACAATGTTCTGCAAATTTCAAATTCAATTTCAAATATTGTGAAAAAAAAATTAAAAAACGCATTACCTGAGCTGCTATAAGTTGAAAAGACTGCCAATATAATGTAGGAAATAAGTCCTCCGGACAGAAAACCAAGCAAGAAAATTTCTGTCTTGAAAAACTGATGTCCAAAGAGAGAAACGAATAGACCAAGAAAAAATATCACAGCGCACAACACTCCGGAGAATGTGGTATCTGGAACAAGAACATCTCGATGACAATCGAAACCCAGCGACGAGGACGTTCCGCTCAATTCGTAATGAACTTCATTCAACACAGAACGCAAGAACTCACTCAGGACATCGCAAGAGTCTGTCCAATAGAGGGCACTGCACGCGTACGTGAGAGACGGCACGTAAGCCGTGGCCGATATTCCACTCCTTGCGATAACGGCGTATACCGAACCTGTCCCAGGGTAAGCGCTGTAAATTCGTCTCATCTGAGAACCTTCCACAGGTTCTGAAACCTGAGCATCGTACATCAATACAAAACCTGTTTCATTAATTTATCAAAATTCAGATGTATAAGCTGAAAATAAAAACATCACAGCATCCAAAGGCGAAGAACTGATTCTATCTAAAATACGATTTGACTATCAGAACATAACCTCAAATTCAATTTCACTGTTCCGTCAAATTACGAACACTTTATGGGACAAAAAAAAACCACATCCATAATGATGAAAGTCACACCACTTAAGTTTAAGTTTCTTTAATGTTGATTAATACTGATAACTTCATGGGACAAAGTCCTTTTGAGATGCTGACAGCTGCTCAGTGGGCCAAGAAATTCCCTGTCTGTTATATAACCTACAATTTAATTACCATGTTCATAAAATCCCATTCCTGAGCCATATAAACCTTCGATATTATCCTCCCATCTACTCTTATGTCTTTGAAGACATGTCATCCCACCATTTTCATCGAGACTTCACCCTGAAGGTGGAGGAAATACATTTTTCTGAAACTTGGTAACCATCTACTAGACCACATGGCATAACAACTTGTAGGACCACAACGAACATATTCACTGCTACGAGAACACCAAATCTCAGAATCTAGAGGACTCTTTTAGTTAACCTCCAAGATCAATTATCATTTGTAACAAAAATTACACTTGCAATCAGGATTCTGTCTGGAAACAGTTTCTCCATCCGCAAATCAGGCACCGACAGAAATACAGAACTCTGCGGGGCATTCACAAGGCAACACGACACTCAGTTCTAGAGACGCCGGCGTTCCTACCTTCTTGCCATTTGACTGTACGTCCTGTACAGTCATCATCTTCAAGAGGGCACCAAAGTAAGAGTCGCATGTAAAGTCTCTTTCTGTTAAAAACATGTGGTACATCTCGTGATGTACTTGTTGAGATTCACAGACAACTGGGGCTCTGTCACGAGGCACAGGAGCTGAAGCCGGTTGACTATCCACAATGATCACAGACTCAGTGAAGGATGTGATCAAGTATGGAGCAATTTCAACTGAGAACTCCATATTACACCCACCTGGAATTGGATCTGATGCCCAAATAATAATTATATACCACATTCCAATTTCATCGGTGTTTCTTAAACTCATACCATTCTTTTGAAAAAAGATAATGGTTATTAAGTAAACTTACCTTCTTCCCCATAACCTTGTACAGTTATTAGAACTGAAACATTGGGGATAGGGTTTGGATTTTGGATGTAGAATTCTGCAGTACTTTGGTTTCTATCAATTAATTGTACCAACCCCAAGTTTGTACCATTTATAAATGAGTGGGGATTCAGGACAGCATTATATGACAATGTTATATTGTATAGGAATGCATGAGCCTGCACTATTATGAATCGTACAGTCTCTGGAATTTTAATAACATTTAAATTTATTGTGGAAAATGGAAGAAGCTCTTTTGTATCCTTAATCACACGCCCTGCTTCAAATGTGACATTGTAATTTGCGAGAGATATATTTAGATATTCTCCATCTGAAAGCAAAATTGAAACATCATTAAGGGTACGAACGAAAGGCAGGGATATACACACGTACCACATAGATTCTAGTAAAAACAGGACGTACGAAACACACAATCGTGTATATAAATGCAATACGTACACCATTTTTAAGTATTCTCGATTCATCAACATTACATTAGTCGAAAGGAAATCTTATAATACTACTTTAGTAAACGACAAAAAAAAATTGGTATTCCTTTACTTGCCTACAATTACAGCACTACATTCGCTTGAATGGAGTAGGCCTGGCACACAGATGAAACACAGCGTTATTCTGGCAAGAAACGACACAAATGGAACAAACATCATAAACACCAAACAAATTTAACACACTATGACACTCAAATAAACTCTGAACACTCGGTACTCATCGAAATCAAATAATTTTTAAGCACATATGTTTCAAACGCGTAACAAAATTACGCCATGATTGGATCGTACGTCTTCTAGTTCAGTTTCTGAAATCTGCCGTTGGATAGCGCACTAGTCGCTTCAATATGGTGACGATGGATCAATGAAATTTGTTATTGAGTAGTTCTAATGTAAATTGTGTATTTAACAAATGCATTTAACTAAGAATTTGTGTGAGTAAATGGGCCATGGGAAAAGACCAAGAGCTGTTGGAAGCAGCAAGAAATGGAAATGTTCCTGTTGTGGAGAAAATACTCAATCAACGAGCGAAGAGGAGTGGCCCACTTGCAAGGTAAGTACATTCAATATTATTTTCTTACAATTTATACTGAAAAATAACACAGAAAGGGTTATCATTCACAGTGGTTTTGTGTTAAATTTTGAAGGACACACTATGATTTATGTAAAATAATTTAGGACATGTGCTCATTAATGTGTGAGCTGCATGTTCACCAAAGCTCAGTGTGTTTATATATGACAGGTGTCCAGGTTGACAATATTTTGCTGTGTATGAAGTGCGATTACTGTTTTAAACCGACAGAATTGTTTGGTCTATACAAATGAGTAAGATAGTATGTATAGATCAAACATATTCCCTTCCTAAAATATTTATTATATGAATACTAATGCTTCTACTGTGTGCAAGAATCTACTTCATTTGAAAATTTATTAAATACTATAAATACCTATGTAAATAGCTGTAACAAGCATATATTTGTATTTACATATGTATTAATTTTGTATTATATACATGTTATTGCATTAACATATCCTTGGCTTGTATTATTAAGGAAATGTAAATAAATCCTAACCTCTTCCATTCTGTTCTGTATGTGGCTGAAATTCAGAATTAATACCAGTTATATTATACATTTGAACAGCAGTTTTGACTGACACTGCACATGAAAAGTGAATTACTATTTATTTACATTTTAATCTGTTACAAATTTGGAATGCTTACTGATAGACGAGCAGTTTGTTACTTCTTATATCTTGCAGTAAATTTTCTTATATGTGTGGTGCTGATAACAGAGTTACATTACAACATTTTTGATGTCTTTGTTTAGTTGATGTAATATGTGAAGATTTATTAAACATTGTGAATATCTGTGGCATAGTGACCCTTGAATTGCAGTGCATTTGTTTTCTTAGTTTAGGATGCCAATAAGTTGCTGTAAATTTTAAATTATAATATTGTGGTTTTTATTGGAGGAGAGTCAAGTCTGTGTTATAATATTGTGGTTTTTATTGGAGGAAAGTCAAGTCTGTGTGTGTGTAAGATACATTTATTTTATTTTTGGTGTTGTGTTACAAATGGTGTGCATATTATCGCCACCTATTACAATTCTGGATGATACATGATACTTATCGATAAGGTGAAATGACAGTAAATTTTGGTACTGGTCCTGCTCCTTATAGAGGGGACTTATTGAACTTCCTGAAATGGCAGCTATATCATCCCTGATTTTGGAATTCAAACTTGAAATTTGAAGATTTGAGCATCTTCACAAGTGTTTTTTTGTCAGAAATGTGTGTCACTGACATTACATGGCGATCGCTTGTACTTTCAGGTTGTGGCAATCAAATGATTGTAGAATCTTCACTGCTGTAATTTCTTGGGTACAGTTTTTATAATTAACAGTGAATTTAAATGGAATGAGATAAATCTGGTTAAAGTGTGGAAAATGCTGATTTTATGTAAAGCGATCCACGCATGATGGATATCTCTGATAAGTAGTTAACTGGAAATACTACGAGCCTCGAAACTAATCATTATGTTTGTTAATAAATTTTATTCAGAGCAAATTGCTTCTAAAGCTTGAGGTTATTGGTCAGTAATTGGTACAAAGACTAGACGAGCTTGATTTTTTGTATCAAAATAAAATATTATTCAAGGTCATATTCTTGTTTATGTGTGGCAGTGGGCAGTTCAGGAGGCCTAGGACCCTGCAGTGTGTTTGAGTGCCAAAAATTTAGTTAGAAAAGAAAGCTTAGTGACAGAAGGTACCATCATTTAGGCCTATGAGAGTATTATAAAAATTTATAATACAATACTGATCTGTTATGATCTTCCATAAACCTCACCTCCTAATGAAGCCATGACCGCTGTACAGTTGTACGTTCGTGAACCACAGCTGTTCATTTACGACAAATATGGCAACTAGAAAAGAGAAAAATGCAGAAAATGTGAGGTTAATGTTGCGAGTTCTCTGAGTGTCTGAAAATTACGAGTATGTCAGCAATTAGCTTAGCGTTCTTCCAACCAAGCAGGTGTCTTGCTTCGCGTGCTTTTGGCCAGCGCTTTGTCAGCAATGTGTTTGGTTAATGTGCTGGGGGATTCTACCCAAAAGCAGCTTTATTCTAAGGGTTTGTTAGCCTTAAAAAGATAACATAGTAATGAGCAAACAGGGAGGCCGAGAAGGAATTCGGATCGCCGCTGTTCATGAAGATTTATTAGCTCAGCTAATGGCTTCGGGTTTTTTTTTTTTCTGCGGTATTACGAATAAAGTAGGCAGTGCCATATAGAGCGAGTGTTTTCCGAGAAAGAGTGGATGGGCAGTCAGGAGCAGGTTATTACTCTATCAGGATGCCTTCTCGTTTATTGGGCAATATTTCTTCCTTATAACGAAGGGTAGCAAGCAGATTCTACGCCCAAGGAGTGAAGGTGGGATTTCTGTGGTTATTAACGGATTAAATTACGCGGAAACATCAGGTCCGAATTTAAAACCTCATGGTAACTATATGTACCACCTGCTGTAACATTCAATACCTCTGCATTTTGCCCACTGAATGTTTGTATGTGTCTCGTATGATTTTCAGACTAAACAGCGATTATTTGTCTAACGTTAATTAACCAGTCGATCGTTGTAATGGTGACGCGCTGTGTTTTCTGTGCGGTACGGACTGAATGCTTAAGTAGGCCTGTTTGTTGAGATTGCTTCAAAGAACTGTCAAAGGTAGTCACTGTTTTTCGTATTTGTATTGTGATGAGACCCAACTTTTACCTTAAAGTACGATGCAAGTTATTCTGAATGTTAGCGCAGGGTCTGTAGTTCGACGTAGAATTGTGTTCTGAAAAGCCGAACGAAACAGACCCGCTGTAGGTGGAGTCAATCGATTCCCCTAGGCCTTAGACGAGGCTTCCCGACCGAGCCTTGAACCCGATATTGATGTAGCATGGCCTAATCGATTTTATAGTCTGTGGGACACTTCTAATTGCGAACAGTAGAAAGTAAATGAAGTAGTACTTAGGTCATATGCGCTCCTCAGCGAATATTAAAAATGCACACCGTGTCTTAGTTTGTTTGAACAGTCCACATTCTTTATTCCAGTTCAGTGAGATTTCTTGAATGTCAGTTGTCTGGAAGAATTTTGATATTCATGGTTTCGAAGTTTCAGTTTCAAGAGGCGTTCAAGGTTCTGTGCCTAAGGCTGTAGGCTGTAAACTGCGTGCGTGCCTACAGGTTTTCTTGAAAGTACTTTCTCCGTAGTTCCGTCAAACTTTTGGGATGGCGCTGAACCTTTAAAACTAATTTATTACTCTTTGTAATGCATACATTAATCAAGTACAGTGTTTTGGAGGCAAGAAGCAATCAGGACCACGGCTTACAGCTTGGGAGTCACTTTTAAAAACGAATTAAAATTCACCCTGAAGCCTTAGAACTGAAAAGAAAAAAGGGGTCTTGGGAAGGCATGACCCCCCGAAAGCAAATTTCTGCTCCTAAGAGTGAGTTCGGAAGACCGAATTCTGAAATAACGCGTTCTCCCCATTCCACTTACCGAAAGTCCTCTGGGATCTTGTCGACTCGAACATTAACTTTATAGCGTCGATGTCAGTGCCTTTATGGATAAACGTACCCTTTAATACCGATCAGTACCGCGTGATTTAACAACCACCAACTCTGCATTTTGCACCCAGGTTTCGCGTGGTTCTCAGAGTAAACAGCATTCACCGATTGATCGTTGTCATGGAGACGCGCCGTTTTTTCTCTGAGGTAGGAAATAAGTTATTTTTAATCGTCATTTAGGCAGCTTTGGCTTCAGAATGAAAGAAAATTAATCTTTTTTGAGACAAAAACTGATTCATGCGAAGTGTTTTTCTGCTACAAGGCTGTATCTCGTGTATCTCACTATATCGACGTAGTTCAGGAACCATCGATTCGAGTCATAGCCCCCCCCCCCCTCTAAAAAAAATCTGTTTATCTCTGACAGTCTGTATTGTATTCGTAACTCTAATCATCCGTGGCATTATGTGGGTTTGTTAAAATATCATGATAGAACGCCTTCAGATGTTTTTCACCGTGTGGTACGGTGCAAGACTTAGAGCGATGTGACGTAAGCGTATGTATCGGCTTTAGTAAAACTGTTTGCATCAGAAAGGACTGTAGAGGCAATTGCTTGAACAGGAGCCTCGAAATCACATCGATTTTGAACTGTGGGAACAATTTAATGGCGAATATTTGCATGAAATGGGCCATTTCTTTCGGCGCGGTTACCCTGAAGGAGAATGTCAGTCTGTCCTGCTCGTGATGTCGCCTTTACTGCTGATTTGTTTAGATTAGACTGTACTGTGTGGGTCTTGTCTGCTGTGTTCGGCGAGCTCAGTCTTCAAGGGTGTGGTGAGTACACCGTGGGTAGCCAGCCCCTAATCGATAACTTGAGGGTGGTTGCGGGAGAGAGGGTTGCTTGCCTGCCATCCAGCGGCAACAAACAAGGGGAAAACTCTCCCGCCACCCCAAGTGTGGATGGAAGGTCGATGCTCTCTCGCAAGAGAGAGCTGTGGAACAAGAAGAAGATGCATTATTATCACTTGTTGTTCCTTCCTCTTCCAGTGGTCATTGCACGTCTCTTTTCGGTTTCCGGTCTCTCAGACTCATGACAAGGCTCTTGTAACTTTTTTCCAGCAGGCGATCCAATTCCAGAACGAAAGGGTTTCTCAGAGTTGACCATCAGAGAGAAGGGGGAAAAGACTCCGGGTACATCGCTAATGCCATTATTAAAATTATAAAGTGAATTCCAGTTGAACTGCGTTAATTACTTCAGGATGAACATAGGCCCTCTTCAAAACTTCGTTTTGTTCGCATCAGGGATTTTTTTTTATGAACAGAGCCTGGTTTGAACCCAGGGGATGTCTGTAAAGTGTCATTTAATTACACCCACTTTTATGATACTTAGCTTTATAATTATGAAGTCATGTTCGGGACTGTGAGATTGGTGGGACATACAGCATGCATGGGCGGAAAACATAAGAGAAGAAGGCACTTAAGCCACCTGCTTTCGTGGAACCCTGAG